CAGTTATTGTGCAAATAACTTTACCGAGCGGGTGGAGAGTAAAGATTTCCCAGTCCATTGATTGGCAACATAGTTTTCAAGGCCACGGGGTGAAATTTACCCACTACTTGACAGATAAAATTACGCCCGTTTTTTTACAGTGCACGTTTTCCCTCGCCTCAGGGGAGCCGACGGATGGCTGCCACCACCCTTTCTTTCACTCCCCCGCACCCTCCTCCACCACTTCCTCTCTCTACCTTATTCATCTCCCTCGCTGCCTGGAGCGTGCCGCATCACACGAAGTGCACTTGGCAGGCGCGGAATAGAAAGTCAACCAGCGAAAAGCGAGATATGGCATTGGGAACAAGGGGGGACCGGTAGCTACGCCGAGGTCCTAGCTGATGCACCAGGGTGCCAATCGATCATATACCACCTATGTCCACAAAGGTCAACACCGCAAAAAATTGGATCAGTTGTAAGGCTGTACAGTAAGAACTTATCCTTATTTCGTAAGAGAAACCGGGAAATTCGAGAAATTACACAAGAAAAAACTTGCGAACTTTTTTGTAGCATGAAAAGAAAGAGCGTGCACGCGCATTTTCTCTACCTCTAGCAGAAATAAAATGTATTAACTTTACAATTGCGTTCATACACCTTCTTCTGACTTGGTTTAGAAATTGTAAACGGCAACTAGGAAATTTTTAAAAGTAATTAAAACCCCACATTATACCGCGTTGCGCCTTTTAAAAATAAAGACTAACGTAAGCCTTGATCGTTACGACAAATGCTCACTTCGTAGCGAGAAAATAGAGAAAGGCGTTCGCCAATTTACCGCCGTTTTCGGTGATCATTTTCACTTCTTCTGCTATTCCTCGGCCGGCACAACACCCACCAACACCCACTCGGTGGCCGTGACCCGCTGCCGGGGGCGCCACAGCTACCTGTTGCAGGCCGGGGGGCCGGCGCGGGCACCTCACCACCTCACTCCTCCGAGCGAACGAGTAGTAGTCCAGCAAGCACCGCGGCACACACAGGCTGCACAGAGCTTTCACGAGCTCTGCAACGTCAGTTAACTCGTTGAGTGTTGCGACGTGACCCACGCCGAGGGTCCCAAAGTACACGCACTGTTTAAAAAAAATGCTGTAAATTTACAACGAAAATGTGATTAATTTTGTTAGCAGCACATACTGTATTTTTGCAGGCATTACTGTAAAAAAGCAGCGTTAATGAAAATCTCGGAAACAAAGTTTCCGACCGAATGCAGTTACTTTTATTTTGCTCCTGTAAAAAAACAAAAAACATGCAACAATACGAGTGTCCTGTTATGGAACAAATGTGTTGCTAAAAAAAATTAACTTCTCTTTTACTTGTAAATGTACAGCAAAGTAGTACGCAGTAGTTTTTGTTTTGGGCCAATATGTGCCGAATATCACAGGTTTCGAGAGAGTTCAAATGAAAACAACATTTCTGTTAACAGGAGAGTCAATCCCGCAGTATGTCGCCATGTTACAGTTATTTTTAATAGTGCACCCTACGCCCACGCCCTTTTTTTGGCAACTCTCGTTTACCGCCCGACTACTCCTAGGTAAGAAATTTCCGCGAACAGCTAATCAAGATCCAGCCTGAAATCCCTTGAGGAATCTGAGCAAGGAGGGAGCTGGTGCTAATGGGATGGCATGGCACGCCTTGAAATAATCGAAAAATCAAGGCATCCTCCCGCTCAGGACCAATATATGCATCCAAGGCCACGCAGCCCCGACTTCCGATGCCGCCAGCATAGCTAGGTGGGGGGTCGTATTGCTTGCTGGGTCAACATTCGCCTGGAGGCAGATTGCTCCTCGAGCGCTCGTGGGGGAACTTCGTGATGAGCAAGGCGGCGATGGCTGCGCGGCAGGGAGCGGACCCACCCGACCGCTGGCGGAGCTCGGCAACCATGTTTACCCGTTGCCCCGTGCACCAGGACAGCGGGATAGGAGCAACCTCTTTGGACTGGAGTCCGACATCCTGTGTATACAGGACTTTCGACTAGAAATGAGCCACTGTTGCTAGACGAGCAACGAGCACGCGGGGAGCGAGACGGGGATTGGCCCAAATGAACAGCGAGGGTGATCAGATGTGTTTAAAACGCCGGTTTGAGGTATATTACAAGGTAAAAGCAATGCCTGGATTTTTTTAAAGGGGCAAAACTGTGAGAAATTTCCCTAATTTAGGGAAAATTTTTGAGCTTTTGAGGATTTCTTTTCAAAACATAGAGACAGGGAGAGACAAGACATCTTGAAAATCAGAGGAGTTTTCTTCAAATTAGGGGACTTTTCAAAAGTTTTCCCCTTTTCCTGCGCAAAAACGGGGAGAGCAGAGACCGACGCAAGAACACGTACAAACGACAATAATACTACATAATATGCTATAGGGTACTCAGAAACAGACGAGGTAGGTCCCCACCTTTGTGGCGGGTGCGGGCTGCTGCGCAGTTACCGTGACCGGATCCTGAGCGGCAGACAATTAATTAACTCCACAAAGGGGCTCACTCAATGGCGACCGGCGACCGAAGGTGACTAGCGAATGAGTAGCGCAGCCCAGACACGGCGCGGGCCCTCGCCCCTCCCAAAGCGACTCGAACCATCGCCCCGGGGGGGATGGTGGCCAGTGCGCCAGGGTCAAGGGTCGTGGTCGAGGTCGGGGGAGTCTCGCTGGATCAAACACTGACGCGTGTATCTGGTCGAAACTAACGGCGGGCGCGAAGGGACGGTCCGTACAAGGGCACGCCAGGGGGCAGACGGGCTCGCCACACAGCCAATCCAACCGAGTAAATGCCAAGGAGGAGTGTCAAGGCCCGGTCAATGCTCGGTCCGAAACGGGGGGGTAGTAAAAAAAAGTGTGGTAACCAAGGCCAAGATCAAGTCGGACCACCCCGACGCAAGAACATGAGGCAGGGTGGTTGTAATTATGCCTTGCTATTGTATGAGGAAGACATGGTAATTTACCACCCCACCTGCCAGGTGTGTGTTTGATTCGCACGCAGAGTCAATGCTCACTCTCCCAACAACGATCTCTGTTCGGTGAGCTTCGATACGCACGCACGCACAGGGGACCGGGGGAGCGTGATTTCCCCATTGTACACTTCCAGGTGGATATTACAGTCCAGGGGCGGCGGCACTCGTTTCGGTTCCGTGCGGCGAGTCGGGGAGGAGGAGGAGCGCACGCGGGCGAAGCGCTGAAAGAGAACAGACGTCCACTGCGCGGCCCAGCGTGAAATGGGCTCAGGGATGCTAATCCAGCCTCATGTACAGAGCGGGCCGTGGGCCGGACCCCGCTCACCCCCACCCCGCTCCGCGCCGGGCTCGCCTCAGGGCACACTCTTGGCGGCCTTGACTAGCTTAGCGCAATGCTAATGAGATCTTTCGCTGAAAGACAATGCCCTAGTAAAGTTGTATATATAATTGGGAGAGAGGAAAAGGCTGCCCGCGCATTTGATCACCTCCTTCACTGTTTTGTCGGCCGACCGAACCAGCCGTGTACGTCTTCCGCCACCGCGGGCGCAATGCCACCCGCTAACGGCTCGGCAGCCTTTCTTCCTTAGTGGCGCTTCTCTCGAAAGTCCCCGAAGGTGCCCGCGAAGGTCGCGGCGTAATATTTTCTCATTCGGACGCGAAAAGCGGCGACCTGTTGCCGGCGGACTTACCTGACCGTCGAGGCGAGAAGGGTGTGCCTCAGGGGGCGGCTGCCTCGCCAGGCCCTGGCCCTGGCCCTCCTGGCCCTCGCCCTGGCCGCGCACAGGTGGACGCGGCTACAGGTGGGGCTGGCCCACCCGGGGCGGGCCCACGCGCAGACCTGCAAACAAAGCCAAAACGCTCTTTACGAATGCCTTCTCATCTTCCTCACTTGTGCCCCAGGCCAGAACCGTTTTTCTATCTAGCTCTCTTTGTGCATATTTCCTTTCTCATCTTCCCTCCAACGCGAACGTGTTTCGTCTGCATAATAATTAACCCAGTCTAATGCATAAATTTAACAAGAATTTAAAATATTTATGTATAGCTATTGTTTATAAAATTTCCGCTAGTTACCCTCGACTATATGAGTTATAGGTGCAACGCTTGTTTGTCCCTGCTTCCAGCTCGCTATAAAAAGAAAGAAACACGACAGCCTACCCAGCATCCTTCTACTGAACCGGAATATAAAACTTCAATACTTTGAAATAAAAATAAAAAGTGGTACACATTATACACGACATTGAAAATGAATATGATTCCGACTGTTGGCCATCTAACGCGCTACACGACACACGGTGTTCAATAATGTCAACCGTTGATTGCCCCACTTCGTTCGGTCGGAGTCGGAGGGGGCGGCGCTGGCACTCCGACAAAGTGGACATCAACTTAACTGCCAGGGCATCGATCACTGCCGCGACCGCGGGCGGCGGCACGGCTTGGACCAAACACCGACATTCACGTCGTCGGCAATGACCGCGATGACGGCGCCACACGGGACGCTCCGTTTGTGCTTTACTTTCAGCCCCCGCGGGACGCGAAGCGAAACAGTGGAGCGAGTAATCGCATAACGGGATCAAATTAAACTTGAGGGAGAAGGACCGTCACAGCGGTGGACGCGCGGTGGCGCGACGATGATACAGTCCCACCAGCCATCACTACTGGGGTGGGCGCCGACGTCACGCCGCGTCACGCTGCCGCCGCGGCCGTCACGCGCCCACCACATAAACGTCACGGCGAACGAAATGAATGAGACAATGTCACGACGGGCCCGCGGCGTGGCGGGGTGCGGCTCTGCGTCGTGATAAATATCCAGTTCGAGCGTCGCGCTGCGCCCAGTTCAACGCCGCGCCCCGCCACACCCCGCCACACACACCGCGCGCACCAAATTTTACAGGAAAAATGCTCCCGGCGCGGTCGTTTTAAAGATAACCCGGCTCCTCTGGGCCCCGCGCTTAGGTTGATGGTGCGGCTGCCGAGCGCCGCGGGGCCAAACGCGCCACGAGCCTGGATCAGCTGCGATGGCGCGACAAACTGCACGCACGGCACAAAACGACGAGTTTGGCGATAAACGGCGGTGCAATCATTTTTAGCTGCGCGCAGTAAAGTCCAAATTGTTCAGAGAGTACGATAAAAAGTAGCTCACGGGTGATGCAGAATAAGAGCTACGGTGAGAAAACATGCACCAATTCAAGTTTAATTTTCACGTGTATGCGTATAATGGAAAACGGGCAGCAATAACATGTTTTTTGATCAACTTATTTACAGTTTTTGACAAGAACGGCAATGCTGTTGCAGATGGAACAGAGCGGCAGCTTTGAACCTTTCTTGTTTTTAGCAGTGCACCAGTCGACACCACCCCAGGTCGCGCGCCCTCAGCAGCGGTGGCCTTGCCCCCCCCCCCCCCCCCCTGTACTTCGGCCCAAGACGCAAATAAAAACATGGGCCATAAAGAGCTTTTATTCTCCCGGGCTCAACAAATGAAGAGGGAGGAGCTCAATTGAGGGGCGAGAGGGAGAGGCGAGGGCGGGGTGTGGGATTGTTGGAAACTAGACCAAGGTGGGCAGTGTTTGTGTGAGCGCCGACACGGTTTCTTAATTAACGAAAAATGCAAAAATATTGAACTGGATACCAGAATATGCTTCGGAAAGTTTCCGGAAATTTTCCTGGAAAATCAGGAAAGTTTCCGGGAAAAATAAGAAAATTTCCCAGACCCCGGTAATTTTTATTTGTTTTTGGAAAGTTTTAGAAATTTCAAAGATCTTCTTGAACTTATATTTGTTTCTTTATAGTGCACGTACAGTTACAGTGCAAATCTCCCCTTGTTTACGAGAGTATATGGCTGGGGCGGGACCCCTTCGGCTACTACATTCTAGGAGCTCACGAAGTCTCGTTCTCGTTAGTAGACTTACAGTGCCCGGCCCGCATCCCGACGCAGAACTCCCGCGTGGGGTGGGGGTGAGTCCTCCACTGTGAAAAATGTAGTCGTAAATTTACAAAATAAATTGTTAATTAACGAGGGCACATTTTATACTCGCCAATCCATTTGAAGTCGATACGTACCCCATGATATTTTTACGATTACAAATTGTAATTTTACAACTTGCGTCAAAAAAACTTTTCCTGTCAATCTTCCTACTTTGGTCCCCACTATGGTCCTATCGTATTCAGTGAAATAGGTGCGGCCCAGCGGTGACCAGCTTTCATGTCAGCCACACGCGCAAACCGCTGACGCCAACCAAACGCTTCACTGCTCGTTCTATTTCTCTTCTTTTTGTTTCAATCAACTACAGCAGATGCGACCAAAAAATAACAGTTTGCATGCCAACCAATTTGGGGAATGTAGTTTGCGAAAGGGCAATTAATCGCAAAGACGGAAATTTGCTCACCAATTTTGTAGTTTACTTATCACCGTACTGGTAATCAATGAAAAGTGTGCTCGTCATGTTGTTGATGCACATCAATTTTAATATCCATGGTCATTCCAAATATAACGTTTGTCTTGACCCAACTGCAAATTTATAACATGTTAGTGATAAGACACTAGACGTTATGTCGAGGAGCAGCCAAATTGTCGGTGTGACGAAGAGAGCAAGCATTTTTTGTCAAAGAGAACATGAAGTAAAACGACACCAATCTTGTGTGCAGTGTACGGGGGTTGAGTAGGGGATGTATCGCACGGGAGAGTGGTCCCTGTGCTGGATGGCCGAGCTGTGGGACCGATCTGACGCGCCGGCCGTGAAAGCACCATGGCGACGCAAAGTGGATAAGACAAAAAAACATCACAAAAAACAGCACAACAGGGCGAAACTGGAATTGAACAGTCTCAGAGTGGCTCCGCAGAGAGAGAGAGAGAGAGAGAGAGAGAGAGAGAGAGAGAGAGAGAGAGAGAGAGAGAGAGCGGCCGAATGCGCACGATACCGCGGTCACTAAGCTGGGGCGGGCAAGTGAGGGCTCTCTCGCGCAGAGCAGCAGGGGTGCACTGTAAAACGATTACGAACTAAATGCTTTGCAACGTTACGAATAATTTTCGTTCTTTGTATTGCAAAGAAATTGTTCGTATTGCAAAGCGGTTGTTTGTTGTTTGTAAGGCTAGACAGGTTCTTACGAACAATCGGTTTGCATTACAAACTATTTGTTTGCAAGCTTACGAACAACTTAGTTCGTAATACGAAGCTTTAAAATCCTTTGCAAGCTACGAAGGTTTTGGTTTGCATTACGAACCTATTGTTCGTCGGTTCGTAAGCAATTTACAGTGTGGTGTGCGGTCTAATAGTCCCCACCATCCTGGGGAAGCCGCTGTGGTATTACGCCAGAAGGATCGTCACTACTCTGCTCGGGCCCAGGTGGCCCGCTCGTCCTGGTTCTCGGTCGCCACGGCTGGGCCTGGACGAGGACGAGACGCTAGCCAGCTAACTTCTCGCCCGGCCACGGCCAATACCGGGACGTGTACGTCCCCCGGACCGGAAGGCACCCGGAAATAGGGGCGGCGGCGAGCGGTAAGAGGCGGATAGAAGGCGAGGCGAAAGTAAAGGGAACCCCCTCACCTCCCATCTCCCGCCCAGCCCCTCGGGACAGCCTCCAAATCCTCCTCGCGGTTGTTATTAACCCCCGGACGACCAACACACTCCCCAATATGTGCTCTGTGTAGGGTTGGAAATTTCCGGAAAATTTCCGAAAGTTTTCGTAAAAAAAAAAATCGGACAAAACGAAAAATTTCCGGTGTGTGGGAATTCTCCTCATTTTACCGTAAATTTTCCTTATTTTCCGGGAAATTTTCCGGAAACTTTTCAGGACTTCCAACCCTATAAGTGCGGGTCGGAGAGAGTCAAACAAGACAGTGAGAAGTCTCTTTTGGCGTGCCAAACCGGCCACGTGGACCGGGCCGTACTTGTAGCGCGGCTTCCCTTCGAACTCTCCGCCCGCGCACTCGCACACTCGAGAGATCGTTCGATACATCGCCCGACAGCTGTCTCTACCAATCGCGGTGCCCGCCCACCGAGCAGCCCGCGCAGTGAGCAGCGCAACGCATAATGATGAGGAGGCGAGTGAAAAGCAAAGGAAATCGAAGGGGGAGGGGGGGAGGGAACAATTTGGCGTACGGCCGGTTTCCTGTGGAACCCGATCAATCAGTACCACCATTCATTATTCCAATACCAGCGGTCCGCGTGCCAGCCTATCCTGTCTGGCGCCAAACGCACAAAACAAGCGGACACCCTCATTATTTCCTCGTAGCGTTTTTCCTATCCGTTTTCCGACATTTCTTATTGCGCATGCAAAAAATTAATCTTGATTTTTTTTTCTGTGTATGTGCACTGTAAAAAGTTTACGAACTAAATACTTTGCAACGTTACGAACAATTTTCGTTCTTTGTATTGCAAAGAAATTGTTCGTATTGCAAAGCGATTGTTTGTAAGGCTAGACGGGTCTTACGAACAATCGGTTTGCATTACGAACTATTTGTTCGTAAGCTTACGAACAATTAGTTCGTAATACAACGCTTCAAAATCCTTCGTAAGCTACGAACGTTTTGGGTTGCATTACAAACCCATAGTTCGTAAGCAATTTACAGTGTGTGTTCAGGTTTGGAGTAAAAGACAGTGCGACAGACCATACTTTCACTTGAAGACATCCCTCATCCCTCCTGAACTTTAAGTTAGACGCATATTGTGAAGGAAGTGACTACAAAAATTGTAACCCCGATTTGACAGATCTCGTTCGGGTGATGTGAAACGTTCAAAATTTGTAAAGATGGCTTACGAATGTTGTCATTCTGACTTGTCTTATTTCCTGGATCATTAAATCACAATTATTGTCAATTGTTTTGTCAAATATAAAGACGTT